AGATTATCTTCAATTCAAAGTCGCCTAAGTTAGAATTTAAATTAATATAAATAAAAAGAATTACTCAACGTTATGCCTTAAAGTCACTTAATAAAAGATAAATACTATTGTGAAACCATGGAGTGTTTCAATGCCTCAAGAAATCTTTAAGGAATTTTATTTAAGCAGTACAATAAATTTTTTAAAGAATAAAATTCATTTGAATTTATTCTTTTCAAAAACAATGAAAAAAATAAAATACTGAAAATTAATTTAATAAAATTTATATTAGCCATTATTACTTATAAGCTCTCACCATTTTTTGGGGGTAGCTTCATAATTAACTGGAATGCAACTTCTGTGGTTTCTCGTTGAAAAATGTGGCCAAGTGATTTTTAGCAGCTTTTCGGTCGTACTCTTTTGGTCAGCTCTTTTTACCATTTGGAGAGTGTTGCATAGACCGAAATAAATAGCGACCATATGAAAAAAGAACCTTTCAATAAAAAATCTATAAAAAACTATAAAACCTTTCAAACAAATTCCATCAATTTCTTCCAAGTCGTTAACGATTTGTGTGATCTGGCATTATCATATTGCTGCACTAGACTTTCTCTGTTTGCCAATTCTAGTCGGTTTTCCTTTAGTATTTCATTCAAGCGATCCAGCTCTGATCAATATAAGATTGAATTAACTATTTTACCTTCTAATCTTACCAGACACTCAACATAACCTTATTTGCTATCAATCCACGCTTAAAAGTAATTTCCGAATAGTCACCGGACTTTGAATATGATTGTCTGTATTAAATATTCTACTGTTTAATCCATTTTTAATTGCCCGTTATTATTCGCTGCAAACCTGTTTCGATTTCATTACGTTTCAACAGTGTTTCACTAAAGGTGATTCGGTCAAACTAATTTCTTTTCGTTGATTTATGTTGTATCTAAACATCAAGCGTCATTGCTTAGCCTTTTAAATGACTTTCTTTTAAATGATTCCAAACTGTGATTTGGTTGATCTTCCATGTCTTTGTTATATCCTTGTCTTGTCCAACGAGTTACAATATTTCATCGCTTTTTAAGCGATTATCCAACCAAAGCGAGGGGTATCTTTGTTATTAAAATTTTCGGAACAGAATCTAGCAAACTACTTCTGTCTTCGGCATTGACTCGCAGTATTCACACCTTAAATAACACAAACTTTTCTGCATTATTTTTGCAGTAATTTCACATTTTTCATAGTAATTAATGAAGCATTACATATTTCTTTAGATATTACAATCATTTTCATATTTATATAAGTTTTCACATGAACGCCGAATTAAACAACTGCTTTCACAAGAAATGTGGCCTGAAATATCATCTTTCAATATGTTCGCTCGACATAATCAGATTGATGTTGCCAGATACATGGGTACCAACACCAACTAGTGACAAAAAACTCTGGATACTTTTTATATTACCCAATATTTTCGATATCACCCAATATTAGAAAATAGCTAATGCATTGTTTTGTTAGGTATATGCTAGGGTCACTAAATACAATCAAACTTCCCTAACTCGAAGTACCATTTTGCAAAGAAAAAGTTCGAATTGTTGAGTCTTTGAGTTAAAGAATTTTTTGTAATTGTATGCAATTTACTCTCTAAACCCTGCTGCACTCTATTTAGTTTGAGTTATAGAAAATCAAAGTTACAGAAGTTCGAATTATGGAAGTTTGACTGTTTAATACTTATTGAGGATGGCATTTGTATTAAGGCTAAGTTTATGTCTTCTTGATTCTTCTTTTTGAGTTAGTGCTATTACGCACTTTTACTTCATAATGGCTGGGGGCCTTATCTCTACCCCACACTAGGTAATAAATAACAACAATTAAAATGTAATATTAAATTGGTACTTACATTTACATATAAACTAAAATGCAACAACAAAATAAATTTCATTGGCATAGAATTTTTGCCTATAATCATTGGTTGTTTTTGTATTACTTTTTTTCTGCAAAACCCTTTAAAAATACGTAATTAATTAATTAATTAATTAATTAATTATCTTCCTTCCATTCGTACAATATTAATATAATATAAACAATTGTTATCAGTAATTAAACAATAACAACGTAAACGGAATTTATCGACGACCGTTTTACGATATTTATAACAAAACGATCTTACATAAAAAAGCTCCCTCATACGGTCATCCGTGATGCGAAATAAAACTTTTCATTGAAAGTTGTTATGAACTCTCAAGCTTGCAAATTAGTTGGTGCGAAACTTTTTGAAAGTGCGGTCGGTCATACGCGTAATTAAATTGAATATTTTTTACAGTTATTTTTTTTCTACATTCCATCATAATTAATCCGTTATAAAAAATAAATGTGCTTAAATGCAATGTAAATATTTAAATATAGTGTAAATAATTTCTGTTTTAGTTATAGTGCAAATAGTGGTATTTATTTGTTTAAAAATAAAAGAATTTGTGTTTGTTAATCGTCCGTCGTTCGACTCGTTAAGTTAATGGAAATTAATAATAAAAAAAAGTGAGGTAAGATATTCAATTTATATTTAAATTAAATTGTACAGTTCTAAACATCTAAATTTAATTGAAATATTTGAAATCAGGTAAGCAATTATTTTCTTTAAATATAGCAGGACTTAAATCAGTTAAATCATATGAAATTAAGCAGCCCATGCATTGTTCTTATAAGTTATACAGCATAACGGAGTTCTTGCTTTATATTATGTTATAAACAATATATTATATACAATATTCAAAGAAACTTTTTTATTTATGCAGTTGATGATATTGATAATTAAAACTCATGCAATAACTTTTTTTAACTATACTCAAGTCACTGTTTATTGTTATTAACGTTCTTGAAGTTATTCAAGTACTACAATATTTTCAAAACTGTGCTTATACAACAGTTTGAAATGAGTTATACAGTTTAGGAAACTTGTTTGTTGCTATAAAGGTTTGAGTACAGAATAATATTAAAAAAAATATGTAAATGGAATACATCAAAACCGAACTAAAAAAAAATAAAATAAAATGTTTGGGTTTGAGTTTGGTATTCGCGAATCGTCATACAGACTGTTATTTTTTATATTATTTATTTAATATTAATTTACTACATTTTTTCTGTTTATTGAAATATGTGTTCAGATATAAGATATAATATTTAATATTTTTGGTTTATTTCAAAATATGAGCACATTTTCTGCAATTGTTTTGTATTTTTCTATACTATGTGCTATAATCAGTAAAGAACATTATTTTTTTGTCAACCAGAATTACGAACTGTTCCCAACTTGTCGACACTTGTTTAAGTCTCGTCTCGCGCTGATTGTGGTTATATCATTTGTACAAGCTGTGTAGGCTGGTTTACAGTCTTTCATTTTATTACTGAATTAGATATTCAATATACTATAACATATAATATATATATTATAATTATATAATATACATACACATATAATATATATATACATATATATATATATATATATATATATGCTCAAAATATTTAAACACATTAATAGGGCAATTCTGACAATTCTGAAAATGCTATGGTTTTGTTTTGTTTATTAAAATAGTCACAGAATCTGATGATAATCCTGAACACTGGACAATATAAAAAAACAATTCGTCAATAAATAAACTATATATAATATTCTAAAAACCTATAAAACTTTTATTTTTTAACACCTCTATTCACACGAAAAAAAATACGTTCAACATAAATGTTACTGCCCACTCTTGTATCGTAGTAAGAGTTGAATTATAACTTTTAGCAGTCATCACCATTATCAATTTCTGTATCTTCCATTGGAACATAGGGTCTGAATAAAACACTTCCATCTGGTTCGACAAAATGTTCTTCTCCATGTGTTTTCAGGACGTCACCTCTTACGGCTGCCTTAAATATTCCAAACAAGAGCTTGTCGACAAATTTCGTGGCGTGCTTTCGCAATGTAGTCTCTACCATTTTCGTAGTTTTATGAAATTGACCATTGGTTCCATGCGCATTTTTCATATAAGTTGGAGTTACTGATGTCATTTGACCACCAAACCTTGAGTATACGTCGAAAACATTTGTTGACGAAACTTTGAGTTTTACCAGTAAGAAAATCAGTTACCTGTGAGATTTAACATCCATAGAGCAATACTGAGATGACGTTTGATTTAAATAGACTCAATTTTGTGAAGAAGCATTAGCACTATCAGCAGTCTTTGTGTTATCTTTCAACTATTCTGTCTAAAGATACAAAATGGTAACTCTACTACAGCTATAGGAAAATAAAGTTAATAAAATGATTAAAGCATGATTAAGAACCTTGAATTCACTTATTACCGAGAAAGTAATAATTTGGTAATATAATTGGTTAGATCACTTTCAATGTGGGGGTATAGAAAACATTATTAGTAATGGAAACACCATGGAAACGTCATGGAAACACCAGAACTGAAATAAAGGTAAGTCATATAACAATTTTATATATTAAAAAAAGTACTCTTGATGGAAATAGGATCAGTTCATTGCCTTTAAAACTGCATTGGCATAAAATAAGTTACTCCTAGAATCCATGATATTTTACTTTGCACTGCTAACATCTTGGGCACATAGAGCAATAGGGAAAGAAGATACTTGTACAGAACAGCACAAAGCCTCCTCTCTCTCTCTCTCTGGTAAAGTCCTTCCAATTTATTGAAATGAAATCACATTTTCTTATATTATAATTTTCTTTATTTTATTATATTTTATTTGATTTAATTTTTTATTAATTAATTTTATTTTAATAAAAACTTAAAATTTACTAAATTTAAATTACTTAAAGTTTTTGAAATCCGTAGCTACATTTTCGCAATATCATACAATTAAATAAAAATATATTCGTACATATATAAATAAACTGAATTCATAAACTTAATTAATTTCCAATATATGTATGTGTATATTCATATATGTATATAAGCTAATTTAATATGGTACAGTCGTAATTTAATTACAATTATTTTTGAATTACAATCTTTAGTCGTTTCATTTTTTGCAATAAAAAATTTTTATATAAAAATATTTTTTTTTTGTGCCAATAAGGACTTTTAAAAAACTCAAATTCTAAAAGGAAATGGCACGAAGTTGGGATACAATAATCTTATATATCGAAATTGTTTAAGTCTGACGATGTCGTATAAATCCTTTTTTTTTAAATTAATTTATAAATGAAACAAAAATTTATTACAAAATAAATATAAATATTTGCCATGAATTTTCATAATGAATCTAAAAAAATGCAAAAAGTTTACATTCGCTGAGCTGCTCTAGAAAAAGTATGAATGTGTGAAAAAAAGAAAGGACTTAAAGGATAGTTCATATATTTTCGAAATGGTTTTATAAAGATCGCTCACTTAAGATTTAGTTAGTCGGTACATACCGTAAGAACTTAAGCCGAAGCGAAATACACAGATGTAGCTGTTCTTACGGTACGTACCGATTATCTGATCCTTTAGAAAAGAACATTTTCGTTTGGTTTTATATTTTAATTTCGAAATAATATTTAATGAAATAATAAATTTTTTAACTTACAATTTTAGTTCGCCTATCTAACAATATAAAAAGTTATGCTTAAAGTTAAGAAGATTAAGAAGTATTTGATTAGCTGCAGCTTAGTAATAAAGTCTATTATTATTAATTTGTTCATTATATTTTGTTTTCCGAGTTTGCTTGTTATCTTATGTTACGTTATCACAGTTCGTACTTATATGACTAAGCTTAGACCTAAGGATGCATAGTTGATACTATATACTACACTCTAAGTTTATCGCCTAACTAAACTAAAATTAATTACAATTTTTCAATTTTTTAGAATACAACATAATTACATACACAATTACAAATTAAAATTACTCATATATAAGTACACTTAACATTAATAACGTTTAAATATATCAAACTGTTTAAATATACAGGATTTGGAGTGTGTGCTTAAATTACAGTTTATAGCATTTGCAGGCACTTAGGCGTATATGTGTATCCTTAATAAATACAATTGGTTAATAAATACAATCGTTCAATGCTTCAGTTGTGTATTTACATTTGCTATTGCAACGAGAAGTTGACTCATGCTTGTTCGTCTTAAGGCACTTTGTGTGAGGGGCGACTATCAGTCCTATCAGATAGCTCCTGTGGCAAGATCGTTGGGCAGTGTAGTAACTGTTGAATGGTTTGCTGTAGACATCACACGCGTGTTTCGCTCCTATGCAATGGTTGCAATTCTCTTTGGGTATCATTGTAGTATTCGTGGTCCGAGCTCGTTGGTTCTGAGCCAGGTACCGTTATGTCTAGCATTGTGGGCGCACCATTACAAACTGTCAGCACTGGTATGCCAATTGTTTGTGTGGGTATGGGCGCATTGCCGGCACTCAGTGCTTGCGCGTTCAGCAGATATTCGGGATTATCTATACTGGCTGGTACACCTATGAGGTCCATGTAACCGCCAGCGTTTGCCGCAACAGCAGCATTATTATTAACACTCTTATTGTTATTATTCAGATTTGTCGGACTATCAGATTGACAAGTAGGCATGAGATAGTCATCTTCATCTACAGGTAAATCGAGTCTTAAATTGCCTACACCTACTTCACGTGCATTGGAGTCTGTTTCATCATCGCCACTTGAATTTTTGTTCATAGGATCTTTACAGTATCTATTCAGTTTAGGCATTTCATCGGTGCTTTCGTGTTGATGTTGTGCTGGTGCTACTTTTGGTTGTAAATAATTCTCTGTTTCAGTCATAACCTCTGGACTATCCATAGTGGGTGCTAACTTGCGTATTAAGTCTTTTTCATCTTGGCTTGTATAGGAAGGTAGACGTGTAAATTTGTCATTGGGTATCACGAGATATCTATCAGGATCGCGTGCAAACTCCGCAAATACATTAACCAACTGCTTGAAAGTGGGTCTCATTTCAGCATTCAATTGCCAGCAAGAAAGTAAGGTGCAATAAATATCTAACGAACAAATTTTGGGTTGATCCAATTTTAAACCGCCCTCTATGAGTTCTGGTATTTGTCTAGCTGGTATATTTTCATGTGGACGTTGACCAAATGTCAACAGCTCCCAAATTGTGACACCAAACGCCCATACATCTGATTTACTGGTGAATATGCGATTGCGTATGCATTCTAAGGCAAGCCATTTTATTGGCATTTTACCACCAGTTGCTTTGTACTCATTGGAATCGTTATTCAACAACTTAGCTAAACCAAAATCTGTTATTTTAACGCAAGATGGTGTTTGCACAAGCACATTACGCGCTGCCAAATCTCTGTGCACTAAACGCATTTCTTCCAAATATGCCATACCCTTTGCTATTTGTGTTGTCCAGTTAAGCAAAGCCTTTGAACCAATCTTATCACGATTAGTACGTACATAATCCAATAAACAACCCAAAGGCATCAGTTGGGTTATCAACATCATTTCTGATGTCATGCACACCGCCAACAATTTCAACAAATTGGGATGCTCTACGGATGCCATAATATAAGCTTCACGTAAAAATTCTTCACTCGATTCTGCACCAGTACTCTTCAATAATTCTTTAATGGCCACTGGTATTTTAACATTTTCACCTTCTGGCACCCAAACACCTTTAAATACTCGCCCAAATGCGCCCATGCCAAGTACGCCACCCTTTCGTAGTTCTGCATCTTTCACAATACGCAACTTCGATAGATTAGGACCAATATTTGATGGTCGTAACGGTTCAGAATCCTCGCAACCTGATAACACCATTGTCATTTTAACAGCTTCTTTTTTGGCTTTGATTCTTTGCCGGCACACATAGGCAACGAAAGTGATGACACACAGCAAAGATGCCACAGTAACGAATGCTATTGTTATAAAAACATAGCTGTCTACGCCAGCAATCAATTTGGCGCCTTTAGATGGTATGGCAGAACAAAATGGGCCTATGTGCTGCGGTACATAGTTGACATATGGGTAATCTTGCGGACACTTGGCAGTGCAATTAAATAATGTGGAATTATCATAAGGATCACCGCCTCCAAACACTTTTAAACTGCGACATGCTAAACAATTCTCAGAACCTGGACCTGTGCAACCTTTACACTCGGAGTGACATTCGAAACATTCGCGATTAGTTTCATCAGCAAAATGATCTGGTGGGCATTCATCTTCACATTGTTCACCGCGTTTATAACCCGCACATTTGGAACAAACTTGCTCATGGAAACCGTAACCTGTGCAGATTTCGCAACGTGGATGACATTTACGGCAAATAGTTTTACCGGCAAGTGGTTTAAGTGCACCTTGTTCTTGTGGATTAACATACTCCAAATAATAGCCGACAGGACATTTATCATTTTTCATTAGGCAGTGATCAACTGTCGCAAGACTGTTTATTATGGCGAGATTACATGTTTTGCAGCCACCGGGACCAATTGTATCTCGTGGTCCTGTGCAACCCTCACAGGTCTGATGACACGGTCGACATATGCCATAATCTGAATACTTATTATCAGGACATACAGTAACACAACGCTGTTCATCCTTTACATGCACGCATTCATCACAATGTTCAGCACCGGGTCCTGAGCAAGTACGGCATTCCGGATGACACTCCTTACATGTTTTAGCATCAAATTGATAAGCGCTGGAAGAGAAAAAACATTTTTTTTTAATTTCATGTATATAAGTGGTTATATTTGCTGCTATAAATATATAAATTAAAAATCTGTAGACATAATCAGTATAGGTCTAAAGTTCAATTATCATTGAAACGTATCAATAAAGCATTATTAGAATAATTGAAAAGCAAAAAAATTAAATAAAAAAATGGGAATACTAGTAATGGCACTTTCAGAATAACATATTCGATAGATTATGTGATCCTAATACTATTTGGGAATATGAAATCATATGGACTACTCTTACAAAGAGCTGAATACTATTACTATTGCTTGCATTGTGCGATTTGCTTATGTTTGATTTCATAACAGAGTGATAATTACATTCAGTGATAATTTAAGAGAATCACATTCAGTGATAATTGTAAAGATTGCAATGAAACTAATAGTCAGATATTACACAATGGTAATCGATTTGATATAGACAAAGAATATTACCCTGTTATTTGTCATAGAGAATCAAGTCTTATAATTCCACATTACTAAGACTATTATTTCATTATTTATCATAAATAATCTAGTCTTATAAATTTGAATTATTAAGCCTTTATTCTAAAGAGATTAATAAAAGTTGTAGAGAATCATTTTTTGTTAAGAAGAATATTAAAATGCCAGTCTAATTTATATATAGACAAAACTTTAATAACTAAAAAGTGAATGGGTAAAAAAGACGTTCAGCATTATAACATATTATAGAAAATTAGAAATTGAAGATCCGATGCGATCTGCTGTAATCTTGTGCATTTAATTTTGAACCCAATCCCTTGGTTTCTACGTCTGGACCTGTGTTCATTTCAATTTAAATTCCACCTATCCACAATCCACCCCTTCTGCCTTATTCCCTACCCGCTACCTTCAACCATCATCCATCCACACCCAAACCCATGTAAACTTTTCATATTATTGCTTTTAGGTTCCCACAGGTTAAAAATAAGACATTTTGAAATTCTGATTCACAAAGAATCAATGCCAGATTGAAATAGATTCCATGTACTTTTCGGACTTTCACTCTATAGTTTCTCCCTACTATCACTACTAAATACTTCTACATATAATGCAATATAATATCTATGTTTACTTACTTTGTGACATTTCGACAGTCAGCAATACAAGTTCCGTTAAAAGCAAAGTTTTTACATTCCAAACATTGGTCGGTACCTGCACCCCAACAACCCGAACCGTTACATTGATCCGAACAAACCATTTTGTCTTTTTCTAAAAAATAAAACAAGTTATAATACATAATGATTTTTTATTATAAAAAAAAAAATATTAACTTACTGCATTCGGATTCCTCTCTGTTCTTTGCTATCACAACTCCATGATCCGGTTGTTTCTGTACTTTCTGCCAATCGATACCATTTACATAACAAATCTTTTTATTTTGTTGTATGACTACAGCTCCAGAATTAATACGTTTTAAATTGCGCAACTCCAAACTTTCTAGTGATGACTTAACAATTGAAAGCGAAGCAAAATAATTTTCCATCAACTGACGACCATGTATAACCTCTAAATTACGGAAATAAGATAAATTCTTAAATGCTGGATGTTCGCCTTCAATATCCAAATAACCAGTGATTTCTTTAACAGTAGAGAAAATCTCCAACCGATCTGGATGCATGGCAAGATAACGTGGACCCATCGTGTAGTTCGTGTAAATATCTTGATAGCCAAAAAATGTTTGATCCAAAACACGTATGGAGCCTTCAATAACTGTGCAACCTTTAAATGAATCTATATTGCCAGAGTGTAGAAGAGATGTCATGGGACAAGTTTTCGGACAAGGTCCATTGCAAGGTACACATTCACCATCTTTAGCCATTTTATCTAGTGGACAACTACGCACACAAGCACCACTATCCTTCAGTAAGTGCTCTGGACACTCTTTAACACAAGTGGCGCCATAAGCATATTTACCTTCAGGATTAGCTTCCCATAAATAATTTGTAGGATTGTATTTCTGCATTGGTGGACACTCCTCTTTACAAACGCCATCATCATAGAAATTCTTACAAGCAATACATTCTTTCTGTGTGGGACCAGTGCAGCCGCCAGCACAGAACAAATGACAACATTCACGTGGATGTGGTCCGAAACAACGACCCTGAGCACATTGTGGTGCACAATTTATTTTACTGAATTTCTGACAATTAATCTGACCATCACCCCAGCAACCGCGTTCACACGATTCATGGCATTTGCCGCACTCGCGTTCGGGTAAAGTGAAGTTGTACGTGTAATGATTGGTATTATTCGCACCTGTAGGAAGAAAAAGAATTGTAAAGTTAATAACGTTCATGATGAGAGATGGGTGTGTCACTTACCCGATATAATTTCATGCCAATCGATGGTTTTGATGTGACATAAATTGAAATTGTTGAAGAAACCCACTGAGCCTTGGAGAATATCACGTAAAGCAGGCATTTCCAATGTGAACATTTTGGAATGTGTGGCAAAAAGCGCAAACTGATCCTCTTGTACATTTAGATTGAATAATGTGCGACCGCGTATAATTTGTAGCCTACAAAGATTAAGTATAGAAGGTTATTTAATAGGAACGTTGGGGAAAGTTAAGGGAAACTCACCTAGGAAATACGACTCTCTTCACATCTACATGACTTATCAGTATGTAACCTGTGACTTCGCGTATATTTTCCAGGAAACTGAGATCGAGGTTTTCATCTTGTAGCCAAGTCAGTTCTAGATTACCATCCACGTAAGTGCAGTTGTTATAGCGATCGCGTAAATTTCTGTAATGATGTTCACGATTCGAGGGTACAGAAAGTCGAGATTTGGTACCAATGCAAACTGTAAATAAAAGAAAATAAAAAAATTAATATTCGTATAAATGATTTAATAAAAAATATATAAAACATATATATATATATGATTTAAATAAGTTTCTCATAACGTAACTTTTAGGTAATGGTAATTGCTTAATTTTAAGCCAATGCCATATTTAGTACGAAGCATTAGAGCAACAGTTGAGATTTCTATTTCCCATTGATTCTATTTCGATTGTGTTTCAAAGATTGCCTTATAAGGTCGGATTACAACTCAACAACAATGGAGGAGACAACAGCGCTGAATCAGCTGTTAACAACATTCGCCAATTATACAATTTTCCAACTATTAGCGAAACTAGTTTCAGCGAAATACATATGCGAAGCGAATTCAGAGAAATAGAAATACGTATATTAAGAGATAAATAATTAATTGCTTTAGCACTGTTAACTTTTAGCTTTGGGTTGCTGCCATTAGACCAGCCAACCGAAAATTCATATGCTACCAAAGATTTTAAATGGCGCTCGCTCTATGTGCATGCATCATACCAATTCTTCAATTCTCCTCCATTGCATCAGAGTTGGATCTCTGTGGCGTTCAAAAACAAAACACATCACGTACTCACATTTCAACTTTGTATGTTCGTTGTTTGTATTGCTTGTGTATTGCTTGTGTATCTTAACAGCACACAAACAAAAAGTATCTACAGTCAACACTCATATTTATTAGTGTGTATCTGTGTTGACTGTTTGTAGATACATTTGTAAGCGGTCTTGTGTTTGATTTATAAGTACGTTCACAAAACTACTTTCTTTTATCATTTTAACAACTTTGTTTTATGATTTATTTTACACAATTTTTTATTAGATACTTTTATGCAAATTTTCTTATTTATAAAGATACTTTTAGATGATAATACCAATTTAATTGATGTACAAATAAAATGATTAAATCGATCCATTATGTTTGACGCTTTAATTGATGACATTCACTTTTGTGTTCTTTTCTAAGAATAACAATTCTGTGAAAATATTTTATCAGTTAATTTGGAATTTTATTTCAAAATTTAAATCATTCTGTCATTAAATCAAACTGAATTGTTTTATTCCAGGTTGATGTCTTATACAAAGCAATATTAACAATTTATTATAAAGTATTAGACATACAAAGATATATAATATTAATCCACACAAGCTGAAATAAAATGGATTCATACTTTTATGTTGTACGAGTATATGGCATTATCCTCGAGCTTAATGTTCAGTTCTATTAACATCCATTGTTTTGTAGCATATTTACTAATAATTTTCAAATCAAGGTCCCATAACTGCTCGTTAATTGAAAAGAATTGTGGATATAAAGCTAGATAATATATTAAAAATAGCTTTTTTATATATCAGCCATATTGATTTATTGTATAACTTTTATTGAAGTAAAAAACTAAAGGTAATGCGAATTATAAGCATTTTTCCAGATATATCCGTTTATGTACATATATATTTTTTTATTTATGAGTTGACACTACATTTCATTTTAAAGTTAACTAAGTATAAGAAACTAGACTACTAGGTTCTTCTTGTTAAAAAACATATACATATATTATCACTTCTGTTATCAAATTCAATGCCAAAAGTATTACTTATGACATCGTCAAATAGGTGTAAATAAATTATAACAAAATTTCTTTCCTTATAATTAGTCTCTAATGCAAGAATAGATTTAATAACTAATTAAAAACTATATAGATTTATAGTTACTTTTTTATAATTTTTCATAGTTATAGAAAAATATTTAGGGTTTTTAAGATGTTATTATTTTGACACCATAAAAGTAATGTCACAAGAAAGAACTTAGCACCTAAGAAATAATCAAAATATCAATGACAATGGAATGCAACGCTATCGCCTGCCGATAACTCAGTTATCGGTGCTCCAGTTCTCTCAGTTCTTCGTGAATTGTTATAGCTATAATGATGCTATAACAATCCATATATATTTTCTAGGAGGTGTTCCTAGACACTAGTTTTTGTTTTACAAATTTTTTGCTGCTAAAGAGATTCGATAAGATAATGATGCTATAACAATCATTATGAAGAGATTCTAAATCAAGATTTTCAAATTTTAAATTTAATTTAAATTTTAATTAAATATAATAAAAATTTTTATTTTTCATACTATATATTAAAATCTATGTTTATTATTCAATTTAGGTTCATAACTAAATATCTTAGTTAGTATATATATATATATATCTCCAACTAATTTAAACTCCACACCATTCAATTGACAAGTTAACATAAGTAATTAAAAAAATTAAAAGCTCGAAAATTATTATCATCGCCACCTACGAAGAGTGCATTGTGGGTGCTCGCTTCATGGTAGGCGTGCGTAAGGTCTTTGCCGACCAACAAAGTGGGTTACACAGCAAGTAGGTAGGCGCTATGGTGCATTCAGATTTTACGCATAAATTAAGGCATTAATACTGACCACTAAGTTAAATTTATAATTTTAGAAGAAATGCATTTCAAAAAACATAAATAAAATTAAAGCCTCAATTTTATGCTCCCAAATTAAATTTATTATATGCATATTAATTTTTAGGGAAACGCCTCCGTTTGTAGGAAAAATTTATTTACGATAACGAATATTTGGTTTAAAAGGTTTTGAGATAGAAGAAATAGTTCCAGTCTTTATGAATAATTAATTAAATTAATTTAAGATTAAAAAAAAAAGGAAAAAAAATATTTTGATTAATTTTTAAAGTCTGCTCAAATGCACAGATGTTAGTGAGGCTTATGAACTTCATTTATATAATAAATAATAATTAAATATAATTATTGTGAATACTTATAAACTCACAATTCAATTCAATGTATTAAATAAACGTGTTAGACAACTTAACACCTAAAAATATTTAGCATGCATCTGGAATTTTTGTATTTTTGTATACTAAAATATACACTAAAATGTGTACAAAAAGTTATTTTTATAACGAAAAATCAAATTTAATTTACAAACCTTTTGTGTAATAATATAAGTATCAAAAGATATATTTTTTACGTTTAATTGAATAAAAACGAATTAAATAAAAATTTATTTCAGCAGTTAACAACAGACCCTTGCAAAAAAATTAGTTATAATAACTTTAATGTAAAAGCTTAATACTAAAAATACGTATAGCACCCTACATAAGTAATTAATTAATAATTAAATACAATGATATGTAGACGATTACTTTAGCTTTGTAATGGTCATTTAACCACCTACGAATTATACACAAAACTAGCGGAATTTAAGTCAGTATTAAATACCTGTTTCATATTCTTTTCGAGAATTTCCAAGTAGAGCAAATACCACTTTACTTTAAATTTACATGCATAAGTGCTCACAATCCGGAGAGGCATGAAATTATTTACTAAAAAGATCTTCGTAGTTCTAAGTGTTAGTTAAACTACGCTTAGAGCTCTGGTAACCCGATAAAATTTTTAAAACTGTACTATATTTTGATATTAACCCATATTTTAAACTAAATTTACGAAAACAACGATTTCATTCCCCATCCTTATAAGTATTCCTTATTACCTATAAGCCGTTTTGGCGCATCTGAAAAAATACAGAACCATGTCTTGGCTTGCGTGATTCTGTCAGATATTAGAGACTAAATCCAACCTGAATCAAATAATAACATAAATGGCCAAATTAGAATGATTGCAAGGATATCAAATTGATTCTACCTAAAATCAGTAGAATGTCTACCGATTTTTTTGTGATTTTATGTTGCAAGTAACATACTATAGATTACTAAAAAGTTCAAGCACTACTCAAACCACTTACGCTAAATACCTTCAGTCCTAGCCTTATAAACTACAGCTGATATCCACATTTACTTAAAGACTACGACTCATACTTAAAGTGTTTAATAGTCAGTTTTTATGAAGCTAACATATTTTCAGGTGTCTTAGAAAAAATCAATATCGAATTAATATCGTTTTAGTAAGGTTACTCCACCGGAGAGTGAAAAGCGATGAAGTTATATCAGTTGGTTGGCATTATCTTATTTCAGGTGTGCATGTTTTATTTGACATAAATATTCTTCTTTGTTTTTGATAAATTGAAAAAAGAAGGAATGAATGAAGAATATTCATAAATAATCTTATCTATATCTTTTGAAATCAATCTTTTTAAATAAGCAATCTATATTAACCAAGCACCAGTAAATCATATGATAACTGTATATATACAAGTATATGTGACGACTGGTTGCATTAACAAAAGATGTAATTATGCGAACGGAAACCAATCCAGCTTTAACTCAATAACAACATCCGAGAATCGAGGGACGAAAAAGGACCCAAGTCGTTTCGTGGTCTACTTCAACTAATCCTTTACTTCAGTGGAGCCACTTGTTGGACAGTGCGCTATCCCAACGTCCCAGCATATATATATATTCATTCGTGGCAAGTTTACTGGAAACAAGACATTCGTATCTCCGAAAATAAAAATTTTTTATTAACCTATTTAAAGCTACCATTCTTGAACTGTAATCTGTTAGTGCTAGAAACCCAGATGTTTACTGAAAAACAAAGAATAAATTTTAGCTCAGCAAACACTTATTAACCTTTTATGATATATATTTGAAAGGCCATAGCTTTGCAACTCAGGACTATGATAAAAATTTATATTAGAAATTAGCTAGTGCAATCTAGTAAGTTACCTAAAAAATTTCAATAGATTGTGTGAAAATTTCAAATATGTTTTGTGCCTTTGTTGGCATACTAATACATACTAATGATTGCCCACAACGGGTCTCAGATACTTCTTAAGAAAAGATATACCCACATACATAAGACTATTATATTGATTTCTCTTTAATTAGGAACTTATAGTACAAAATAACTATTGAGGTCGCAGATTTCTACTATATTAAAAGCCTTAATGTCTTATTCCGATTTATTTGTTAATTTTCCAGTTCCGATTTATGTGAATTTCTAAGAAATTGATAAAATGCTTCAAAAATAAGCAGCG